GGTGTACTCCCAGTAGCAGGAGAACAATATGAGAACAGCCCCACCAATGTTGGAGATGGAGCAAAACTGAAATAGCATATAGGAGAAGGCCAATAACCTGCCTCAGTACCACATGGAAGCTCCTGCAACATGTAGAAGATGGTAAAACAGGCAAAGGCTGAGGAATGGGCCAATACCTGCTCCATGAGTCACAGTCCTGCCAGTAATGGAGCGATCAGCAGTAAGTTCCTGTTTCTTTGACTGCTTTAATCCAGTAACCACAAGGAATCAGTCATTTTGAATCAGCAGTACAACACCATGTATGGATAAACACAGATGCATGCAAATAGCAGCACATAATGAATCCTTACATGTTGGACAGAAAAAAAAAATCCTTATTTCTCGTTTTGTTGGTCTAGGTTTAAGTGTTATTTTATGTTTGTCTTTTTTCTGTACTGATGTAATCATGTTTCCTTTATTGTTTTATGAAGGGGCCCATCCTCGTCATCACTTTCCTAGATTTCACAAGGCAAGACAGCAAATTTCCTTCGAGTTCTTAATGTGAGCACTCACACTTGATTTCACGAAGACGATGAAGATGAATTTTCTTTGATGAGTGATTTTAAATTGAGCACTCATTTGTTTTGGGATTTAAAAAGTGTCATCACACTGATTAAACTATCTCACTCCTCCTCTTAGCTAGCGGCTGTGGGGAAAATCAGGATAAAAAAAATATTTTTATGCTTCTTTATCACAGTAACTGTCCCAAACTGAAGCAACAGCGGAGCTCCAACTACCCAACTATGACTTTGTGGTTTCCCACTTCTTGCAAGCGCGCCAATCAGATTATCTAAATCCCACATACGTGCTGACTGGTCAGCTTCAACAAACATGTGCTTATTAAAAACGTGCATTCATGTTGTGTCTTCCTAGCTTTGTTCCCTTAAACCGCCATATGAAAAATGTACAATTTTTATGCTCTAGGAGAGTAAATGGTTTGCTTGACGTGTAAAGAGCAGAGATTAAAGAAGAAACTTACTTTCGTGGTCAACTCTGAGGACAAGCACTGCTGTTAGCCCAAGGGCCGTTAGCATTTAACTTTATAGCAGGGTTAAACTCGCAGAGAGTAAGAGGAGCAGACCCAATAGGGTGCATTTCTTAAGAGTGATCACAAAAAGAATTCAATAAGAAAAATTCATAGTTTGACCAGTACTAGTATTTCTAATTAGCCTTCTATATTAAAAAAAAACTTGTTTAAAACAATAACTGGCTGAATAAACCATAAATTACAATATCAAATAAGTTTTTATAAAACCTCCGCTAACACACTCACAATGAGTTAATGATTAAATATATAAATAAATGTGCATTTAAACACTTTGCTAATCACTGACCTTATAAATAATGAACATGAACACATTATTCATGAGCTCATTAATGAAAAAGAAACATGTATTTCCCCTGCCACATGTTATGTACTAAGGATGAGTAATGCTTTACCAATGATGGATTAAGCATTTACTAATGCCTTATTATTGCTCAATGTCATTGTTGGTCATTGTTGTGACATGTTACTAGTTCACACATGTCTGAGTGGTACTGGCTCTATAAATGAGACCTGCAGGCTCTTGCAGTCATTGACAGTCTTAGATTAAACCATGACGTTTTACACTAGTCTTCTGCTGTGCGCTCTGGGCCTCACTGCAGTCCTTCAGGTGCCTGGCACCTTGGGGGTAAGTAAAGTCGTATATCCTCTTTAATGTTGTTTTCATTTGGTTATTTCTTTGTTTTTTGAGCAATAATTTTTCACCATTATTTTCTCTCTCATCTCTGAAAATCACATCTGAAGCAGGGTGAGTGTGGTAGTTATTCATACATAAATCTTGACTGATATGAACTATATTTAATCTCTCATTCAAGGTGTTAATTTGCTTTAACTGCTTTCATTTAGTGACCACTACGACTGAGAAGAATGAGATTGTGAACAAGCACAATACTCTGAGGAGGAATGTTCAGCCTACTGCGAGCAACATGTTGAAGATGGTAAAACTCAGAAGATATTATGTTGTGTCATGTTCAGCTTAATAATGAAAGCACACAGCACTTTTTTGTGTACACATTTGTTCTTATCTACATGTTCTGATTTAACGGGCCATCTTGACCTCTGCTCCCTGCAGAACTGGAGCAACGAGGCTGAAGCCAACGCTCAGAGATGGGCTAACACCTGCTCCATGAAGCATAGTCCTGCCAGCAACAGAGTGATCAGCAGTAAGTTCCTCATTACTCCTCGCGCCTTACAAAAAATACACCACAAAAGCAAAGAAAGAAAAAAGTGCTTGTGTGTTTGTTTTTTACATGTTTAACTGTTTTGTTTTTTACTTTTAAGTTTATAAAGTGATTTGGAAGTACATTTTAGATAAATTTATGGCAGCGCGGTTTAATTAACTCAGTTGTATTTGTGTTTGCTTTTGTCCTGAAAGTAAGAAATGTCCGATTGAGAGTGGCACGGCAGTGCAATACAGAAAAACAGGGAAAGATGCATATAACAGCACATTATGAATCACTATCTTAACAGTTTGGTTTGTTAACATTTTTCAATTCTTTTATGGTTTCTGTTTGTTTCTCCAAGTTTTAGAAAGTGTTATTTTTCTGTACTGCCATCATCATCTTTCATTTATTGGGCAATATTTTGCAAAGATGCTTTTCTCAAGTCCTTTGATTTTACAAGATGATGATAATGATGATGATGATGGTTAATTTTCTTTGATGAGTGATCTCGAACTGAGCATTCATTTGTTTTGGGATTTAAAAAGTCTCACCAACCTGATGAAAGTATCTCTGTCCTCCTCTTCTTTAAATGTAGCCAGCGGCTGTGGGGAAAATCTATACTATTCCAGCTTCCAGAACACTTGGAGCAACGCAATCCAGTCCTGGTATAACGAGGTGAAGGATTTCAGCTATGGAGTGGGATCTACCAATGGAGGAGTGGTGGGACACTACACACAGGTACAGTGATACATATACATGCACTTAACTAAAAGTGATTCTTAAGCCCAAACCCTGGCTTTAAAAACATTTGTATTTTGTCTCTCTGTGCAGGTTGTTTGGTACAGGTCTAATCAGATCGGCTGTGCTATGGCCTACTGTCCCAACTCCAAATACAAGTACTTCTACGTCTGCCATTACTGCCCACCGTACGTATATAGCATCTTACCATAATGATGTGTTGTATAAAATGGCATATTTTAATCTTTTGAACTTCCTCTTTTGTCTGCAACCTGTATCAGTATTATTGGTACATTTTAGATCCTGATAAGCGAAGTCATTAGTGATTCTAATATACAATGATGAAATGATCACTAGGAGCAGTGATTGAATTGCAATTCCTTCAAGAAGAAAATGTGGATTTTGTCATTCATTTAATGCACAGAAATGTGCATCTAATTTGTCATTAAATTGTATTTCAGAGTTGCTTTAAGTTCTCATAGGATAACTGTGACATGTTTGGGATGACATCCAGCGTTAGTGTTTGCTGTTTGATGTTTAATATTTGATGGTCTGACCTACAATTACAGTGGAAACTACCAGTTAACCCAACCCTACAAGAAAGGACCCTCCTGCGGTGACTGTCCCAACGCCTGTGAAAACAACCTGTGCAGTAAGTAGAAATATCCTATAGGAATATAATAGTTGTAAACAAGGTGAGATATACATGTTTCTGTTTTGCAGACCTTTAGGGACATTTCAATGTAAGCCTTTGATAAAGTAATATATTGTGTAAAGATAAAGTTACATTGGTTCTGTGTGCACCACATACAACAAAGTTGCACGCAACAACAGTCAGCTTAAGGCACTTTATATTGTAGGTTAAAGACACTACAATAATACAGTGGGATTATATGCATAAATTTTGTTACAGCACTTTCAGAATGGCATCCACTTTAATTAAATGTATTAACCAATGTTATCAATAAATGATCAGACAGAAGAGGGCTTTCAGGGATTAGTGTTATGTTCAGCTTTTATGCGTTTTATGTGAGAACAAGATCCAGAGTGTGATTAAAGTAATCTTTTACATTCTGAGAAAAGCAAATTGAATCTAATATTGCAGTAAATGTAGTGTTGAAGCTGTCATTTTCAGGTATCTAAATGGATGTTAAAATCATCCACAACAATTATTTTATCTGAACTAAGCACCAAACTTAATAGATCATCTTATAGCTAAATTTATTTTAGCTGATAAACAAAGCTAACCTAAAACTGTTGTCTGGAAAGGTGAGGAAGGTTACAAAACTATACAATATAAGTAATTACCTTGGCCCTCCTCACCAACTTAATGCTTATTATGTTCTTTATGCTTTTCTCTCTCGCAGCCAACCCCTGTCCCTTCTCTGATAAGTACAGTAACTGTCCCCAGCTGAAGCAGCAGTGGGGCTGCAACCACCCAGATGTTGCCTCTTGGTGCCCCGCCTCCTGTAAATGCACCAATCAGATTATCTAAATGCCCCATGCCCAAATGTGCACTGATTGGTCAGCTTCAATAAAGCTATGCATAACAAAAACCTGCGTTTGTGATGTGCATTCTTACCTATCCAACCACCATATGCTGTTAGTGAGTAAATGGTCTGTTTGACTGGGTCAGTAATTAACAGAGATTAAAAAGGAAATTTACCTTGGCACACTATTTCTGAGGAAAAACACTGCCGGCAGGAGCAGATGCCCTTTGACTTACGTGAGGTGTAAACTCACAGAGAGGAAGAGGAGCAGGGTGGATTTGGCAGAGGTTAGGAGGAAATACAAAAAAAAACCCCACAAACTTGAGCCAAGAAACATCCACAGTTTGAGACCGCATCTGATAGCAGTGATTAATTATGATATACACCACAAGTAGAATTTTAGAATTTTTCTTTTATATTTAAGTGCCTTGATTGAAGCGGTTAGATTATAATTAGATTATTTTGTATTTATCAAATACAAAATAATGGGCCATTTCTCGCAAGATCTTTCAAGTATTTTTGACTTTCAAGTTTTGTTTTTGTGGTTTTAATTATTCTTTTTGATTCTTGAGTGTTCTTCTGAGTTCCTTGTTGCATTAGAGGTTATTGTTCCTTCCTTTTGTCCCAGTACTTCTGTATTAGGGTCATCCATGTGTCTGTGTTTCCCTGTTTAGTTATCTCTTCTCACTTCCCACTTTATTGTGATAGTTAGTCGTCCCTTGAGTCCTGCTCTTGGTCTTACTTCCCTTTTCTCATCCGCCATGATTTAGTTCAGCTGTGTCTTGCTTTCCCCTTTTGTCTCCACCTCCCTGCTTGCCCTTCTGTGTGGGTACAGATAAATAGTGCTGTCCTCCCATTAGTCGTTTGTCGGAGGTTTTGTTTGCATGCACTCAGTGTTTCCCGATTTTGTGTGGTCCTTTAACTTTGTATGTAGTTTACTTTTTCCTTTCAAACTTTGTTTCACA